AACTAAAATTTCTAAACTTTTTTTAACAAATACAAAAAGTGGTCTCTTCATTAGTCAGATTTGTTAGCTTGTTGGAGAATATAATTTTTTGCTAAACATTGACTGAGACTTCAAATGCGAGTTGTTAGAATATTTCTGGTTGGCCACTTCTTTCTCTATACCTCGTTGATCACTTGTGTGTGTGTGTGTGTGTGTGTGTGTGGGGGGGGGGGGGGGGGGCTATACCAAAACAAGTAAGTATTACATGAAAAATTGTCATTTTAGAAACAGCATTTATTTAACTGACCCGTACATCAAATAGTATAGAAACAGCATTTATTTAACTGACCCGTACATCAAATAGTACAGCTGACAAATGCTGTTGTTTCTCTAGGCTACAAAAAGAGCTACATGGATAAAAATAAAGATGCTCAGCTGTAGGCTATAGCAATTTGCTCTAAGTACAATAAGTTGAACACTTATCAATAAGACTAGGTTTCAATAAATTAACATAAGAGTTGTAATAAGCCACAACACTTTCAGTCTTCCATATCTCAACTTGATCTCATCATATTGATTGTGCAGCACATGAAAAGCTGCTGTGAAGTATAAACATAAAAGATGAAATCAATATGCCTGTAAATGCTTATGATGTTCAACAAAAGATCTATATTAACATATGCATATTGTGGCTAGCATACACAAAGGGGTATCAATTAGAAAGGAATGGTATGTTTGATCTGATGAATCTAAATTGTAATTCAAGAACCAATTGCAAAATTTGTGGTTCTTGCCTTTGTAACAAATAATGGTTTGCCATGGAACAAATTAATGTACTTCTTTTTAACAGAACTTGAACATAACAGGAGGATGGGTAATACCATCAATAAATCAATGAACAATTCCATGCTTTTACAACTGTACTCTAACAACCCATAATATCAATCCCATGAAATATGACAGAATCTGATATACTACATCCATTTTCTTGTGCAATTCTACATCCATTCTGATTACAATACCAAATATCTGTCAACATTGGTGTTCTTGTGTTTACATATTAATTCTAAAATTAATAAATATTTTTACAAACATAATACTGCTTGTGCACAAACAACAATGGATACATCAGTGAGAGTGCAACTCTAGATATTCAATGAGAGTGACATCAGGAGGAGAAAAGGAGTCCAGTGGGTTTTCCACTTGAGTATGCCTGGCGTTTTCATGATCAAAACCTGAAAATAATTTTTTATACACAATTAAATCTATCTAAAAATAAATTTTATTTGCACATTAAAAACTATGTCATGAATCACTGAACTGCATATGAATAGTGAAAATGAAAAGCAGTGGCTATATTAAATTTTATCATTATGGATTGGGGGAGGGGAGTGGGAAAGAAAATGAATAAGGGGAATGACTAGAAGACAATGGATCTCGTGTCCATGTGAATTTACAAAATTGAAAAATAACACTGTTATTAAGCCAGTATATACAAATTTTAGAAATGAAAAAAAAAAAAAAAAAATCCCTGTTCAACACAAATACGTACTTTTTGAGGACAGACTGAGATACTGGCACACTGCATGTAGCAACAATCTCTCAAAGGGATTTGCTATCTTTGAAATATAAACAGAATTTTGCCATTCTTTGAAGAAATCTGTTACTTCCTCCTCTATTGCAGATAGGATGCCCTGGAAAAACATTGGTATAATTCAAGACAAGTTCTAACCCTGCAATGATGCATGGGATAAATTTTACCCAAGTCCATATCCTACAGTAATTTTCCTTGAAGCTTGAACCCTCTCGCCCATACAAGAAATTACAGTGTTCTGCACAAATGACTAAGGCAAACAGGTTACAGTAGGTCATTAAGGATAAAACATTTACTCTTTAAATCAAATGAAATCACTTAATTTACCTTTGGAAGTTGTCTTTTACACAATAATCCTCTAAGATTGCTGTCAATTTTCTTGAAACACTCCTCTGCTGTGAAAGCAGGATGGACTGTAAAAATATTAAATACAATTCAATAACTTTAATGATAAACCTATGAACCTTCAATAAAGAATTCTATTAACATATTGCTTAAACAGTAAGTTTAATAAAAATATCCAAATTATGTAACAAGAATGTTCAGCACTAGATGTGTAAAATGTGAACAATCATATTATATCAAAAAATAATTTACCTGTTCTCTTGTCATCAGCTCCCAACCCTCCTACGCCAGAAAGGGCATTATCTTTTTCATCAGCATCCAAAAAGACTGCATCAGTCACTTCTTCCTCAGAGTATTGTTGACCTTGTAAAAACTGCTGCTGTTCCTCTTCTGAATGGTTTATAAAGTCATTCCATGCCTGAAAATACAGAATATTGGGTCTCAATTAACTGCAAGCTTTGTAAAAACAATGCACTTTTACAACAGTTACTATTCTAAATAAGGACTTTATCACGATTTTTCAAGCTAAAACTTTTAAAACAAGTATAACTATTAAAGTCAGTTGTAAGAAATGTATTTGTAGTAAGATGTATACCAGATAACACAAGTTACCCTCATTTTTTCCTCTTCTGAGAGAATTTCTCCAAATGCAGACATCGTTGGCTCCAAATAGTCATGGATGTCAAGCTCACCAAACTCTTCCTTACTGTCCACAAGACTCAGCAAAAAGTTGACTAAAATAGCCAAATATTTAAAGGGATAAAAACTCTTCGTTTTGGCCAAAAAATGAATTTTCCTAGAGTAAACAACAATTTTCCCATACTTACCAATGGTTAATGAATCCATTTTTACATTCAAAGTTAGTCCCTGGTTTTTTTTCTAAAAAGTTTGGTTTTTTGTTAAAATCTCTTAAGAGATTATAACAGAGTACAGACATCAATGGAGGTCACATGGTCAAAAGACAAGCTCAGATATCATAATAATAGCTATAACTGCCATTTTTGTGGTAAAACAGAATATATTATATTTCTAGGAGTTGTTCACAATGTTTTTATTGTGAAATATAGATATCATATGAAGAGTTATTATCCCTTTAATTGCCTTATATTCAAGACCAGTTATAATTAATTTGATATACTTGCAAATAATTATTTCAACTGTTTCACAAAATGTGGTACTGAAAGGAAACAGTATCTTCTGAAAATATAATACTAAAATATAGCCATGCCATTTTAATATATTAATTTAATTTGGTTAGTTTTGCAATTAATTCAATATATTTTACCTTGGATTTTCTATTCAATTTTGACAGAATGTTCTGACAACCAGCCACTGCACGGCAGATCCAGGATTTTGCTAAGGGGGTGGGGGGGGGGGGGTCGAGGGTCGGGGGAGGGATAATTTTGCTTCACTTTGCTAGGCAAATATAAAACAGTCCGTGAGGACAATTTCAATACAATATGTATGGCACTGGGATGAAAAAATTGTTTGTTTTTTCTTATTCTGTTATACTGTTCCTGAGAGGAAGAAGAGTATACCATATAGATCTTATGGAGGGGACTTGTGCGAGCTATATGTCCTTCCTGGATCCGCCCTAGTTAGCAGATGTCATGTCAAACTCAGAACCAGAGAAGTAGGAAAATTACTAACAATTATCCATTCTTCTGCCAGTCTTAGTGCCCTTAACTTTCCTTCCTGAATTTTTGGTCCAGTCCATGGGTTTGGGAGATTTGGGAGGTCTGTGCTTAAACTTCCTAGGTGACTGGGGGGCTGGGGGTGTTGGCTCTTCTTCACTGCTTTCATCAATAGCAATGATCCTGTTGAAAATTAAAAGCAACAAGAAATGTTAAGACTCAAAAGCACAAGTGTTTAGTGTGGGAGAAAATATATATCTAAGATTTATGCATAATTCTTGGTAATTAATTGTTTTGTATGGATGAAAAATCCATCTAAACTTTAAGCATAATTCCTGGCAATTAATTAAAAAATTAACTAATGTCACTCCACCTCTCAGACTTCAAACAGAGCTATTGTTGTGACCATTATCTCACATTTCTTAAAACCTGCAGATCCATCCATCCATCCATCAATTTAACCAATTCCAGCTGTGTCAATAATAGTTAATTCAGGACAACTTACAGATCTACACTTTAACCAGTAATAAATACATATGTCAAACAAGTGGTGTTAAACTTTAGGTGAGATTTAAGAGCATCGTTCATATGTATTATGAATCTATGGAAGAAGACTAACTGTTACCAAAATATTATGCCAATTCATAAGATAATATTTTCAATTTTGCTAAACTATAAAGCCATATTTCAGAGCTTGCATCCCAGGGGTAATGCTGACCTGGTCATTCAACCTATCCAGATTCAACCTAGTAGTAGTATTACTAAATGTAAACATTGCGATTTAAGACGATCTGTTTCACTTACTGCATTTGATCATCGTTCGTGGCGTTTCCATACAGTTTCTTTGTCTCGTCGATAACACCCATGATGAATGTCTCCAAAAATTCTCGGTCACTATGGTCAGATTATACAATAAAACACTTGTGGGATTCACTACTGTCACAACTGGCTGCAATAACCTAGCTAGTAGGTCGTTGACATCCACCCGCCTTTTTTGGCTATAAAAACATTTATTTTTAATGTCAAACAGACCAAATTGGAAACAACATGAATTATACAAATATTATATCATTTTTTTGTAAAAGCAACTGGAATTACATTATTGATGTGGTGAAATTATGTGTATTAGCAGTGTTTAACACTCATGAAGAGGGAAGCACATCGATTGATTAACTCTCTCGATCACGTGATTGGTAGAGACACGAAACTACAAGATTTGGATATTCCGCTAGATGGCACCCTGGACTGGATTTTAAACCCGGTGCTCCAAAATTTACTAGTGAGTGCAATATATACCTGTACTAACTACAAAAACAACCATATCTGATATCCAGCGGCTTTTATAAACTGACAGCAAATTGAACAGGCTACCTAATGTCAATAGACTTTTTAATTGTGATTGAAATAATATGGGCGCGAAATTTTGAATAAGAGGCGATCCATAATCAGAACATTACCATTGCCATTACCCACCTGAATGCAAGTTTGGATAGGCCATCTATTTGACTCTACCCTCAGGGAACTGCCATGTGGGACATCTGACAAAAGGGTTTGTAAGTTTTTTTTCTAGGGGAATATTTTGTTAAGAATTTCATAACAAAATGGGATAATTTCATATGTAAAAGATAATGTGCAGTCAAATAAAATGTTAGTTTTCTGCCATGCTTGTAGATGATTTTTAAAAATATTATAGTTTTATCCTTAATTATATGTAATTGAAATAAACTCATCTTTTTAGGAGAAGCATTTTGGTAAAACACTTACTACAGTACAAGTACAGGGATCGAGACCCCCCAAAAAACATCCAAGTGAGTGATACCTGATAAAATTTTATTAAATACTACAAAGGTCCACCAAATTTCAGGAAATTTGATAGACTTAAACTTCAATTTGTGCATGATCATTCCCTAAAGTTTCAGATATCTTGGTCACTTTCCATTAAAGTACCCTGAGTGTCAGAGCAGGGAATTATATCGGATATAATTCCCTGGTCAGAGCAATGTAAAAGCTAGCGTGCTAAATATACCTTGTGGTGGAGTCGCTTTTACTAGCACTGAAGACCATCGGCCATGTTAGGTTTCCGTCAATCAAATAGAACTGCTCCGCAGTGAATCTGCAGTTGAATGTCATCAGACCAAAATAATACGTAAAACAAATTTAATTCTGCTTTATTTAATTTTATTTGCTGTATTTAAGATGTAAAGTGAAAAAATAAATAATATTCTTCGGAAAGAAAAGATATATCCAATGTTTTTGTATTTTTTGCTTATCAAAGAAGACTTAGTCCTGAGATATACACGTGCACAATACATGTGCTTGCCGTGTGCCAAATGTATGCCGGATACCACTATAAGGGCTGCGCAATGGCTACACGAAAATAAATTTTTACAGCAGAATGTTGCTTGTATTGTGGCACTGACCTTCGACTGCAAGATATTTTCAATTCAAACTTGTAACTCCGCGTCAGGCACTTTAATTGCTTCTTGTCTCGCCTGCACGAGACTTCAGCGGCCAAACCTGTGACGTACGAGACTTATGACTTCCAAATATGGATCCAGGCGGACACAGCTGTGACGTGTGACTTCCAAATATGGAAGCGCCCCAGGCAGAATTTTGAAGAAGAACACCCCCGAGTTGCCGCTGTTCGCTAGAGCCTGGTATTGCTACTATGGGTTATATATGAAATCAAGATGGAGCTGGCAATACCGGAATCTAGAACCTAGGGTACATAAAAGTCATGTTCTTTTTAAAAATGAGCTCCAAAAGGCCTCAGCACACAATTGAAAAATTATCATTTTCTCAAACACATTCCTTCTTCAGAATTTTCCTGATTTTTGCTGTGATTGCTGCCCTCAGTTTACCAGTTGTTTGAGGGTTTTTCTGGTACACTTTATCCTTAAGATACCCCCACAGAAAAAAATCAGGGAGGAGTTTCAAGTCTGGTGAAGGCCCTGCCCACTCAACATGGGGTCATGTCGATACTCAATCCCCTGCACCGTTACTCCCCCGCACCGTTTCTCCCCCGCACCGATACTCCCCTGCACCGATAATCCCCCTTAGTAATTTTTTGTATTATGCGCATCGATACGATCCCACACCGATATATCCCCGCACCAGTACATCCCCGCATCGATACTCCCCCGCACTTATACTTCCCCGCACTGATACTCCCCCTCAGTATCGATGCGGGGAAGCAATGATGTGGGGGAGTATGGGTGCGAGGATGAACTAGTGCGGGATTATCGGTGCGGGGACGTATACTCTGCATTTAACCCTCGAGATCACACTTCCTGCTGATCAGTCTCTTCTAAAATTTGCGATGTGGCAGTGCTGAGAAAGCTTTGGACATCACTGGGACAATCCAGAGGGATAGGTCAAGATGGACAGTTGTTCCAGCAAGACAGGGCCATCCCCACACATCAAATGACTCCCTAGCCTGAATGAGAGAGTGATCTCAGGAGTGGCAGATCCTGCAGAAAGTGTGACATTGAGTGGGCACTGTATTCACCAGACTTGAAGCTCTCCTGATTTTTATCTGTGGGGGTATCTCAAAGACAATTTGTACCAGAACAGCCCTCAGATGATTGGTTAACTGTGGGGAGCAATCAGAGCAAAAATCTGGAAAATTTCAAAGGAGCAATGTGTTTGAGAAATTGAGTATTTTTTTGCGATGAATGCAAGTGTGCATCCAATGCCTTAGGCTGTATTCCCAGAGCTTTTAGATCGATCTATCCCCGCGGGGAGTCTCACTAGATTACTGTCAGATAATCTGGCTTAAATGTCCGTCCCGCCTACTACAAGCTGTAAGGGGGTAATTAACTTTCGTGTCCGCTCGGCTGACAGCTATTTAGCGTGAACCCCCATGGAGTTAGGTCGATCTAAAGTAGATCGATCTAATCTCTGGAAATGGGGTCTAAGAGGCCATTTGGAGCATATTTTCTTAAAGTACATAATGCATATGATCATACACATATTGATTCGAAGTTTTAAGTCCAGCAAATTTCTTGAAATTTTATGGATGTTTGTAGGATTTATTAAAATTTTTATGGGTTCTACTTATTTATATATTTATTTATTTATTTATTTATTATTTTTTTTTTGGGGGGGGGGGTGTCAGCCTGTTAAAAGATTTATCTACAGGTATCACTTACTTGGATGTAAAAAGTTGCCAATAGAGGAATTCCAATTCACTTGGTCAAATTTAAATATTTCAGTTACATTTTGGGGAAAAAAGAGTTGGGCAAGTAAATGAAAAATGTTTTTAGTCCACTGGAGCTACATGTACCTTTTCAGCATTTTAACCTACCAGACAATGCAATTACTGTAGACATTTTGGGGGAAAAAGAGTTGGGCAAGTAAATGAAAAATGTTTTTAGTCCACTGGAGCTACATGTACCTTTTCAGCATTTTAACCTACCAGACAATGCAATTACTGTAGACAGGTGGATGTAATTTGCCCCTGACAATAAATAAGGCTTGTTGTCAACCTTAGGCTTGTTGTCAACCTTTAAATGTTTGATTTCAACTTTTTCCATATGCCATGCCCCTATTTTTCAATTGTGTGAAGACCAATGTCAACTTCACAGTGGTAGCATCATTCTTGGTAGAAACGGAAAATGAGGAATCCATCATGGAGGCACTGGCCATAATCAAGCAATTCAGCCCAGAGTGGGATCCTGAACATATGATGGTGGATTACAGCATGTCTGAAATAAATGTAGTAGAGGCCTCTTTCCTAGGTTTGTGCTGTGTTTGGGCACTGTGTCTTGATACACTGCTTGATTCACTGCACCAAATAGACTCTCTTCAAGTGTATACTAGTAAGGAAACATTGGCACGGTTTTGGAAAAAGCCAAAGGAGCAATTCCACGTGAGTATGGATTGCTGAGAAAGTCTAAGTCTCCATGTAAACAAAAACAGCCAATAAATACTCAGCATAAGAAGACGCTTATTTCTCTTTTTTTAATATATATGAGATCAATATAACATGCTTTATGTTTTTGGTAATTGACAGTTATCTGGACATTGTGATTAGCAACAGTGGTAAGGTCACAGTTTGATGGCAAACACAGATTCCAGAATAATTGCGATAAACGCTATTTTGGTGATAAAATAGAATTTAGTCTGTGATTGTTTTCAATGTATTTATTGTGAAACATGAATCTCATAAGAAGAGTCATTATCTCTTTAAGCTCTTAATGTTACATTGTGTACCTTAACAGGCTCTCTCAGTTATAATTAAAATGAGTAAAATACACTGTATATAATATCAGTCTTACAAAAACATACATTCTTGTTCATGATGGCATGCTCACATTATTACAAGACTTAGTACAGTATATCATAACAACATGTAAGATAACATAATCATTGAAATTATTCTTTTTACAGGTGTGCCATGTGAGCCTTCATTCAATGTCAAGGATTGCATATGATGGAGACATGGCTTATTTTTCTAAGGTAAACCATATAAATATATTCACTTTGAATAGTTAGCAGAATATGCTTTAAAGAAAGAATTTTCAATTATTTTTAGTCATTATATTATAATATAAATATTTCATTTGGCACTTATACAATTGTCATCTTTTTGTTATGTATTAAAGGTAATCACACTGTCTCTTGTGGTTGCTTTTATTAAGTAAACTTCAAATAATATGATGAAAACATTGAGCTTTATCTTAACCACAATTAGATATACTGGCACTTTTAAAATGAATATATATATATATATATAGTTTTAAAAAAGGTTACTTTCCATATTTATGTTAAAAAAAACCATTATTCTCAATATTTGGGTTTCTTTTTTAAATTTGAATAGAAAGATAGGTTTCCTATCGCAATTGTTATGAATAGATTAATTTGAGTTAAATTCCACTTGCTTCTATTAATCTATTAATTTTTTTCTTTGTTTGTGATATAAAAAGACCTCTGAGAATATGTCATAGTGGGACTTTGCATTAGACGAGGACACTACTCTGTCTTGGTAAGTATTGAACCCTTATATGGGACTCTCTCAGGGACCATTCCCACAGATATTTGGATCGATCTATCTCCCTGGGGAGTCTCACTAAATTGCTATCAACTTTACTGGCTTAATTGTCTGTCACACATAGTAAAGCTGTTAGGGGGTAGTTATCTTTACCACTAACTGATTCGGGAGGCGTGACAGACATTTAAGCCAGTTAAGTTGATAGCAATTTAGTGAGACTCCCCAGGGAGTTAGACCATTCCAGATGGATCGATCTAGGCATGAGAACCCAGTCTCAGATTTAAATTTTGGATTTGGGTTGTTTTGACTAATGTAGGCTGTTTATATATCTCTCCAATAACTATACATATGCATGACATTGTTTTAGGCAATAACAAATCTATATCATTTCTAATTATCTTGTTTTCCAAAAAAAAAAAAATGCTACATTTATTTGTTTAATGAAAAATTTAAAGACATAATTTGGAGAAATTTAGCACTCTGTAGATCTGACATTTGATTAATTCTCCACACCAACAGCAGTTGTTGTATTTTGTGAAACTTTGAAGATATGTTGTAATGACTGGGGCTTATTTTTTCACTTGTGTCTACAGGATTGTGGAAGAAAGGAGGGCAAATACACCTTTCTCAATTCTCTTGGAGAGACTGACCAAGAAAAGGATATAATCACAAGAAACTGGAGGTACATGTAGTTGAATATTAAAGCATCATCATATCAAAAAAATGATATGATGTCATATTGCATCACAGTAATAATATGTTTATAGTGCACAGTGCAGACAATTGAATATTATGCATAGGTTGAGAAATATAATTCTTCTTGTAATGTATTTTCAGCAACTTCTCTAGAAGAAAAGAAACCAGGTGCCAGTTTGTCATCATTGACCATGATAAATGTAGCGGTGCAATTTATCGTCCAACACGATAACAACGTGCTTCCAAAATACCCTTTATTCTCCGAAATCCAGTATTAGGTACACATAATGTCTGCTACCCCGCCATGTTCCTTTCTCGCCGACACTACCCCAGTTTATGCACACTGGCACTATATTTACCCCGTTACAATAAACAACTAGGTGACTGCACTTGTGGATTATGGTGTATACACGTGAGTTGTTACAGAGGCGGATCCAGAGATATTTTCTGACTGATTTAATTATCACTCCTTCCAAATTATCTTTGTTGATCCATCCTCCATCCTCCTTCTGACAGAAAAAATTAGAAACCTGTCAATGTAAGCTTGAAAATCTGACCGTCTTCTGGAGATCAAGAAGATGGCCCCAACCTGTCCATGTTACCTAGGAAGCACGCATTGTATTATAAGTTCTTAGATGGTACACTGCTGAAGAGTCCCCAAGCAAAACATTTGTTGGGCAATAAAAATAATTGATTTTATTATTTAGCTCCCCAGCAAGGTTTGAGCACTATTCAATATGACCAGATCATGTATATATACACTGAAGAAAATATAAATACCCCATGTGAATTTATTAAAACATGAAATGGGGTATGGACAGTAACCTGTATCTACGGATAGCATGGACAGTAATCTGTGACACTTAGAGCAATTTAAATTAACTTTGTATGATTTACTATAGACATATATGTATATATATATACATTAAAGTATTGTGTGGGGCATTTTTTTCTTTGTATATAAATAATTGTTTTGTTATTAAGTAAAATAATGAAATAAAAATGATTTTTGGATAGGGTGTAAAAAATATATTAAATAGTGGAAAAATGCCTTGACTCCAAGAATAAGGTGAAAAGTTCTATCATAGGACTGGCAATAGTTTTCTCGACATTAATAATGTAACAACATAAGACAGACTTATGATTGTTTAACTTTTATGTTATAATACTTTTATAAAAAGTCTCTTTGAAAGGTCTTTTTGTATTACTTTTCTGTTCAAATCATTATTTTTAAAAGTGATTTGAGGTATTTGTTCTATGTAGTGTTATGAGTTAATTAAACAGTTCAAGATTACTAATTTTTTTGTTTTAACCACAATTATTATTTTACAACTTTCCAGGGGTGGTGTAGGTGATCACAGGCAGATCAAGTCCTCTGAAGAATTCATCCCTTAGTCAGCTTGTTAATTTTTTCATTCATACCTGACAGTCTGCAGATTCCAGATACTCAAGATATTTCATCAGGACAATTGATCTGCCTGAGCACGTTTAATTAACGTGCCCTCCTATCACAGAAAATTATTTACTAGACTTAAGCTCATGTTGGGTCACTGTAAATCACTGTGCCCCTGGTTTTAGGTTGGCTCATTAATTATTTTGCAAATTGCAGTAACATTGGTTCACCATTGAGCCAAGGTCAATGCATTGTTGGTTTGAGGTTGGGTAGCTGTTGGATCAGTGTTGGCTATTAGTTGGGCCAATGTAAAGACACTGTTGTTTAGAGGTTGGGTAATTATTGGGCCATTGTTGGTTATTAGTTAGCCCAATGTACCCGGGTAGGGACACTGCTGAAACTGTTGGTCCGATCGGTCATGACCGACTAAATTTGTCTGAACCGGTAAAAAATTGGACCTGGTCGGTCCAAAGGACCAATAAGAGTTTTAAGAGCCGACATTTTGAATTTACAGTCATCATTCAACATACTTCACTAATATAAAACCCAAATAGTTGTCCCCTTCCATTTCTTACCGATCACATTGACACACAAAGTAAGCTACCTTATCGTAGTATCCGTCTCAAACGAATAGGGTGATTTTCAGTCTGGCAATTTTTTTACTACTGCCGGTCCAAATGTCCGGCCCTTCTGAAAAGTTTTAAGCATGTCTGTTGTTTGGTTGGGAATATGTTGACAATGTGTAGTATTGAAAGTGACTAAGGGTGTATTCCCAGAGATTTAGATCGATCCAGAGATTAAGATTTAGATCAACCTTACTCCCTGGGGGTTCACGCTAAATTGCAGTCAGCTGAGCGCGCACCATAGTTAATTACCCCCTTACAGCTTTCAGTACGGGACAGACGGTTAAGCCAGCTAAGCTGACAGTAATCTAGTGAGACTCTCCACAGGGATAGATCTAAAATCTATGGAAATGGGGTCTAACTGTGCGCCAGGGTTTCCCAAAGATATTCAGCTAACCGTGAGCACTTACTCTTAGGCTTCGTTCACATGGAATGTCTATTTTCTAAAAATCTATTTTCTATTCGCGGTATGTCTTATGATCACGGTCTGTGCCCTGAATATCCTGCGGCGTAATTACTGGCAGCGCGAGCCAGTTACTTATAGTAACTTATAGTAACTGGCTCGCGCTGCCAGTAATTACGCCGCGGGATATTCAGGGCACTGACCGTGATCATAAGACATACCGCGAATAGAAAATAGAATTTAGAAAATAGACATTGCATGTGAATGAAGCCTTAAATGGAAATTCAACGTTGGGCCTAAGTACGTTATCTTGGTCAACAAAGACAATGGATGCTGGACAGCTTTATAGTATTGTAGATTTAAAAAGTTTAAAAATTGCTGTGAATGTAGGGCAATTTTGTATTGCTTGAATTTTTCTGCAGGCAAAATAATGTGTTATATAAAAAACATGATATGTTTATAAAAACACATTATTTGAGAGAAGGAAAACAAGTCCCCATGCCAATACCATGTTGCATTTTTATACTATTGCAAGGTATTGATTCTGCAATATATATATATATATATATATATATATATGTGTGTGTGTGTGTGTGTGTGTTTATATTTTGACTAAACAGCTTGTTTTTCCATCCTGTGGCACATACAAATAATGTAGTCCAAAAATGTATTACCAGTATTATATGTTCCCGCTTTAGGGAGAAGTGATAAATCATTACAATCTCTAAATGTTTCCTCTTTCAGAAGAGGTGATAATTAAATCAGCCACCTGCATTTTTGCTTTAGGACTCTATTTGTAATAATGACACGTCCATTTCCTCTAATAGGTATTATTCTTTCCAACCTTCTGAAAATAATTAAGCCAGTATATTTGCCAACGATGACACATACCGGTACCTATAATGGCTTTACACTCTGAACTATGCACTCTACCCAGTAGGCTATAGCAGGGTTCCAGTTAGCGCAATTTTTGTGCATCCCTGACGCTGTTTTATCAAAATTGACCTCCAATTTTAATGTATTGTGCCCATTTGACACATTTATCTCAGTCCTCAGTGTAACATTATCTACTTGTTTTTTGTAAATGTCAGTAAAGGTCAGAAAGTTCCATAAGTGACATTCTTTAAGTGACCAGTGTCACCTACAGCTTTCACATGATAAGGTCTGTCATTGATAGGGATGGTCTGGTTGCAGAGTACCCCATGTTCAAGCAACTTGTGCATGCATGTTCACAGACATATGAATTTAGCAAGTTTTTCTGAGTATGTGTTAACAATACCCTAGGTACTAGATTCTGGTATTGCCAGCTCGATCTTGATTTCATATATAACCCATATCAGCAATACCAGGCTCTAGCGAACAGCGGCCATGTTAGCTTTCCGTCAATCAAATAGAACTGCTCCGCAGTGAATCTGCAGTTGAATGTCATCAGACCAAAATGAAACGTAAAACAGATTTAATTCTGCTTTATTTAATTTTATTTGCTGTATTTAAGATATGTAAAGTGAGAAAAAAAATAATATGTTTCAAAAAGAAAAAGGTATATCCAATGTTTTTGTATTTTTTGCTTATCAAAGAACATTTAGTTCTGAGATATACACGTGCACAATACACGTGCTTGCCGTGTGCCAAGTTTGACAGCTACACTGGATGCCCGATACCACTATAAGGGCTGTGCAATGGCTACACCAAAATCAGTTTTAAAAGCAGAATATTGCTTGAATTGTGGCACTGACCTTCAACTGCAAGATATTTTCAATTCAAACTTCTAACTTCTAACTTGCTTCTTGTCTTGTCTGCACAAGATAACATCAGCGCAAGGCGGGAAAGGCAGCTCCAGGCGGCTAAACCTGTGACGTACGAGACTTATGACTTCCAAATATGGATCCAGGCGGACAAAGCTGTGACATGTCACTTCCAAATATGGAAGCACCCCAGGCAAAATTTTGAAGAAGAATGCCCTCAGATTGTCGGTGTTTGTCAGAGTTTAGTAAAAGCGACTCCATCACAATGTATATTTAACAAGCTAGCTTTTACGTTGCTCTGACACTCAGGGTAGTTAACAACAGATGAATACAAAGATTTGTATCCTTTCTTTTGCAAGTTGGTTGTTTTTGCACTAGTTATCCCAATTAGTGTGCCTTGTGAAAGGGGATTTAGTTGTATGAACTCCTCAGGAACTTGTGCTGAATGCTTCTTATGACTTTTGTATAAAAATTTTACTTCTTTAAAACATTTAGGTGGTAACAATTTGATTTCTACCTAATGGACCCACTAAACAAACAAGTTGTCTAGTGGGTCCTAGGTGTAGGTGACTTATTGTGGTTAAACTGCTATTACGTAGTAATCAGCTAAATGACCTTTTAACAGTCAATCTTAGCTGATCCCTTTGGGCCAAAACTTTTTATTTATTTATTTATTTATTTTTTGTTTGTGTGTGTGTGTGTGTGTGTGTGTGTGTGTGTGTGTGTGTGTGTTAAAAGGGGTCCAGGGCTAAATACAGAGTAAGTTCTGATTGGAACTTGACTTATTAGATGTCTAGTTCAGACATTGATGCTTATATATTTTATTTTAAAGTGAATTGTACTAATGGTATTTGCCCCTCAATATTAAGAGATATATTGATATATTAAATTTGTTTTTGAAATCTTAGGTTTTGTTGTGGGATATATTAAACATGTTATAACCTCATTACAAGCGTGGCAGAAGAATAAAAATATCAATGATGGCATGCAATAAATGTGCTTGAAGCAATGGTGCATGAAGTCTCTTTAGGGGGTTTTTAGAGCATATCACAATAGATGCTTTCATGGAAAAAATGGCATAAAGAAGTATCAATATAACCTGACAGCACATATGCAATACTTCCTTATTGTGTCCAAACTATAAAAGAGTCACCTTGATGTAGTGTCCACAAGACAGGTCAGATGTAATACCAGTACAAGCCTGGCAGGTCAGATGTTTTACTACTACAAGGCTGATAGGCATTGTTTTCAGGTAATAAGTATAAGCTAATGAGTTTTATACATTAGCTTCTGTTCTCATCAGTTATAAATGAAACAGTGTTTGGCCTAAATTCATGAAGCAGCCACAATAGGTTGCAACACCTGTATGTAACATTGCTATTCAATGAAACAAGTGTAAATGTTAATAACTGTGATCGCGATGTGCTATATTTCATTTTTTTTTTTTTTTGTGTGTGTGTAAAACCAGTATACAAGGGATATGTATGAAAACTTTACATGTTAATTGTATTCTGCCCAGTAATTAATGTTTTAGCAATTGAAAATAATACTTTTGTGAGGCCAATTAAGCTACATTGCTACTTCATGTAACACAAATTTTTATTTGTCATGAAGGTCAAAAGGCCTGAAAACTGAAGAGCAGATTTTATCTTATCAGATATCTTGTCCTTGTTCACAATACTTATTAACACCTTAATGCAAGAACACTATATGAGGTACATGTCCACATAGTGCTCCTGTATTCCTCCTTTGAGGGGTGTGTTGAACTTTGAGATTGTGATTGTTCGAAGATGAGATTGATAATTAATTTTATTCATTGGAGAAGAGGTCAGCTGATATAACATTTATAGAATATGCTTTAGACATATTGGACACAGTTTCCAACAGTCTCAGTTTGTAATCTTGATATTTTAATGTTCTAAAAGTGATAGTGTGATTTGTGAAGGTGCTTCCCTAAATCAAGGTAGGCCAGCCTTTTTATAATGATTTATGATTGTTTTACTCTGTAATCTAACAAACTGTGTCTTTTAAACAATACTGGATTTTGTTGAGTATTTTTCAAGCCTTATAAGGCGATGTTAGGTCATCTCTATACTGAAAACTGTCTGCATACTGGAGCCAGCTAACCGACTTGGCTTATTGATATTGGTGTCACATCAAGACAATGTTAAACATATCAGGTCATTGTGAGATGACACTATAAAACTGATACTATGCATGAAAGGAAAAAATATGGAACATGTGACAAAGTTTAATGGTGTTCACCTATAGCGTGGGATGGCACATAGAACAATAATCCTTCAAGCAGACTTGAAACTCGACTTGTGACCTTTATTTTTCATATCAGAAAAAGATATGCAGCATAAAGGCACCCTAAATATATGGACGTACTCCACATTGCTGCAAGCTTTAAACTCAGTAGTGGGTTAAGCTATCTCCAAGTCTAAAACTTGAGAAGCGATAAGCAATCTCTGCAGTGCAAAGAATATAAAATGAACAGTATGGTATGTTTGACCTGCACTAGACAAGGGCAAAGACCTGACACATTTATAGGTATATACATTGTACCACATGGCATCCATTTTTCTTTTCTTTCCTTTCTTTCTTTTTCTTTTTTAGTAATTAATAGGCATTAAATAAAAACTAACATCAAAGCTGAGGAAAAAGGACACACAAGTGAACATGCATTTGTAGGTTTAATTACAAATAAGGTAAGTTTTTTTGCTGTTTATGTTTATCACAGTTTTTTTTTTACTAGATATGTATATAACTATTATAGGCTTGTTGTATTTTGATAGCATAGAACCAATTTTCTTTGGCCAATTATTACTTTCTTGGTATATAAATTGAAGAGAAACTTTTTTTAGTTTTAGTTTTAAAGACATGGGGACAAACCATTTTTAAATATGTATAGCAAGTTGGTTTTCAAACTTTAACAATTCATGTTTGATAAATTGTTCAGACAGCTTGCCATATAGCAACTTGCATGTATTTAGTTTTGGTACTTGTCCACATTGAAAAAGAAATGAAAAAATTGTTTCTAATATTTTGTTTGCGCTGAGCAGAAAACCAATCTCTTTTAATCTGAAGAAAATAAGTTTTTATTAAATGTCACTTCAAATAGAATTTGTAATTGTATAAAAGGATACAAAAAATATTCGTAGTGTTATAAAAAACTTACGGCTAAATATAAATATAAGATATATTTGTTTATATGATGCATTTCAGTGCTTTAAAAACTTTGGAACTTGAGGTGAGCATGAAATGGAAAAGATGACAATATTGCGTGCAGTTCTTCTGATAATAATCAGATTGGCAGTTCAGGTCTTCAATTTGGAAGCAAAAAATGGTAAGTGAATATGAAAATTGAATCATTATCAGCACAAATTTTTAGAATTGATGTACGAGCAGGAATAATTAACCCAAAAGAAAATTACAGGTGAACATAAAAAAGGAATAACCTTTATTTTGTAATATGTAAATAATGAACTCGTCAACTTTCTGAACTGTGGATGTAACACTGCATTTACTGTAGCTTATAGATTGAAAAAAAGAAGCATGAAAACTATGAGGCCCCTTCGATAGTTTTTATCCAATTGGATTTTTTTCCATTCCATATTTGGGAATTTATCTAATGGATACATGTAGAAATTGTACTTTAATTGAGAAAGTGGTTGTTTTTGAGTCAAATAGTTAAAAAAAGAGAACTGTAACTAATGATAATAATTAAGTAGCAAAAGACGAATGCACACGCAGCAAAGAAACCATGTGTAATGCACTGATAGAATATCTAATTGACTACTGATATATACATGTACCTGTGTATCAAAATTAAATTTCAATACAAATTGATTATCCTCTTTTATATTCATTTATATTATCTTATGATTTTTTATTTTTGCATTGACCCATATGCTTCATGTTTGCAGTTACTAACCAGCATGAAGCCTGTCTGACTGATCAGTGCTTAAGAGATAATATTTGTTTATTTAACTGTAATGGTAGGTCTGTATTAAGGTGATGGGTGCTGATACAGCATGCTTTGCTTACCATTTTAAGATTGTGCAATATCAAGATATCATCAAAGAGTAGCCTTTATTAAACAAATATTTTTCATTACAATTATAAATGCAATTTTATCAGATCGAAGCAGTTGGACTTTAACTTCCACAATTAAAGTGCCTGTATACTATCAAGAAGTTAAGAGAACAAGTTATTGCTGTCACAACTAAAATAAATTGTCCTGAAATTTAAACCTGTATGTTGGTTATCTTACATATGGGTCCATTGTCTCCATATCAGCAGAAAGTTGTTGATTGTTAGCCTACTTACCAGTTTCCGAATTTTGTCTGGCTTTAGTTGTCATCTTTTCTTTCAAACTATCATTATATGTGTCTGGTCTCCTAATATTGTATAAACTGATGATAAATCAAATCAATATGTATGTGATCTGAAGTGCATGTTTTATCAAAAATTTGTCTGAATTTCTATGGTTCTTTTCTTGTGTCTATGTTTGAAAAAGAAAATAATGTCAATATTATGTCACATACTGCATACTTTGGTGTAGTATTTCTTTTCATCTATTAATTTTTTATCAGGTGGAGGAATGCAGCTTTTTAGTGTTGGGGTAGAAAGTGCTTATATTTTTTACTATTCATTTGTAAGCTTTATATTTTTCTTCAAATGTTCTTCGAATCCCTAGCTGTAGTCATAGGTTCCCTAGCTGGTTATACTCCCGTTCATTTAAAACAGAGCAATGTAATGGATGTTACATGAAGTAGTGCAGTATGCATTCTGGTGCTGTAACACATGTCACCTGCATTTGAGCAACTTGAACTTTTTCAGGCAGTAAATAAAATATTGTAAAGATAAATAAATTTATTTTGCATTTCGAAGACAAAAATATGGCAACATTCTACTAAAACGCATTTTATCCAGGAATGCCCGTATTCAAACTGTTTTGTCTATTCCAGTGTCCATATCTCCAATGGACCCAGTAGTGCTTGTTGGGTCCAACCTTACCATAACATGTGAACTGGCCCCGAGGATGATCCCAAGTTACAATGCCAGTGAAGTGGGTCTGTGCTGTGACTGTGACATACCTGAGAAAAGACTGGTCATCAGGGCCAGGGATAGGAACCCCGCTGTGTCCATAGGGGACACACAGGTCAACTTTACTTTGTACAGCTTACCTGATATGTCTGAAGATAAGGCTGGCAAAGTGTGTCTCTGTTTCCTTGGAATATCGCAGTCAAGTAGGACAACTATATTCACAGGGTGTGAGTAAAGTTCGGAATCTGGTTGAAAGGTTCCTGATTTCATTCTTTAAAAATTTTACATAGATATATGTAATATGTTTGAAGTAAACATGTAGCTAGAATATATTATGGCATAAACAACAACAACAACAAAATTTCAAACATGCCATGTATAATACGTACCCTTGCTAACCTGTCAAGAATAACATCAACAAAGACATTTTATGTATGGGTCTACCAGATCCTTTTAAATAAAAAGGGTTACTTTGGCAATGCAATAGAGTCTTTTCCACGAAATCGTGAGCATGCGCAGTTCGCGCCATTTTGTGCGGGACTGTTTCTCAGGGGGAAAGAGTAGAAGGGGCCTTCGGTACTTTTGTAGTATCCCCCCCCCCCACCCTGTAACTTTCTGTAACTTTCACTTTTCAAACAGTTTTTTACATTTTATTGTTTATCTATGTCAAAGCTGTTGAAATAAAATGCTTTTGTAATTACCTGTGGACTTTTTATTAGTGTTAATCACGTTTAATCCAGCCCATTGAAATACAAAGTTAGAATCTTCAATTTACACTCGCAGTCAATAACTTGCCGCATTTTCGTTGGCTAACCCTAAGGTAATTTTATGTGAACAAGTAGCTCATAATAATTTCACAGAGGAAATCCAAGTATACAATGTATCAATCCTATGTTCACATAAAATAAGGTAGAGTTAGCCAACGAAAACGCAGCAAGCTGCGGTTACATTGTAAATTTTCACATTGTATTTCAATGGGGTGGATTAAACGTGATTAAAACTAATAAAAAGACCACAGGTAATTACAAAAACATTTTATTTCAACAGCTTTGACATAGGTGCAAAAGACACTGAAAAAAAATGTTTGAAAAATGAAAGTTTCAGGAAGTTACAGGGGGGGGGGGTATACTACAAAAGTACCGAATGTCCTATCTTTGCTGTCGATGAGGTACGTTTTTAGTTCTTTCATTGAAAAGTCATCAGGTACTTCTGCTAAATTTCTATTCCAACTGCTCCCATGAATGTGTTTTCGAAAAAAATCAGGTGTTAACATGTTACGAAACTTTGAAAATTCAGATTGAAATGAGCACTCCTCGATATGGCGTCCGTCGTGTACACTCCACACTTTCCCCCTGAAACTTCAAATCCCGCAAAATCTCGCGTTCTCACGGATAATTTAGCGGAAGTCACGTGACCGTGGAAAAGACTCTATTGAGTGTGTGCTAGAAGCTGCAACCAAAGACAAAACATTTTAAATCTGATGATAGAGCTAGGTACCTGTGTTCCTGCAGATGGCACCACCCCAACCATAAAACCTTGTACTCTCTCTCTCTCTCTCTCTCTCACACACACACACACACACACACACACACACACACACACACACATGAACACACACACACACACACATGAACACACACACACACACACACACATTGGCATTATTGTATGCTTGGACATAATAATGAAAGGATGTGAAACGTGGAGCAAGATCAAAGGATAATCAGCTTAGTGGGAGCTCTTCATGAAACCATGTGCGTTCGGATCACGTGACCTCCCATACAGGTAGCGAGCATATCGTAATTGACGATGACTTTTTGCGTCATTTGGGCAGGTAGTTCGCGATAATGTGAGGCAATCTTTCGGGTGGATGAGACAATAAACTTATAGAGATTAAGTATAAGTACAATTTGTTCTATCAATTTGGAAGCTATGTGAGACTTTGAGATGTTTGTTCATGGAGGAATTCAAAATGCCCTATGTGGTAAAGGCAATCTTGTTTGTTGCCGTAAAATGAGCATTCAAAATTGTATAATTTTAGTGTAGTATACTTGTTTTTAGCTATGATCCGATAGGAAAATATATCTAGTGTCGAAAATTTCTCTCTGTGTGACAAATTAGCCTGAGATGCGGCAGTAATGAAACCTTCAATCGTGTCTTGAATTAAAATGACGCAATTTCTCTCCGATTTCTTAGGCTCGTTGACATTTCTTTTAGGCTGGTATTTTTAATCATTTTTAATCATCTTTTAAATAAAGATGACATCAACACCCTCAATATCGTTTCTCGTTGCAATACGGCAAAACACATACATTTGTGACACACAAAAACGCACCCGGGGTGCTTTTAATATCCTTTTATCAAAGTTGACATCAACACTACTATGAACTGTATATATATGTTCATTTTACCGGCTATTGTCTGCTCGAAATTGGGAATGTTAATTGATAATTTCTTTACTCTCAATATCAGCTCTCGCTGGAAAATGGCACCACATGAATCGGCCGATACATTGCTTTTAAACCAGTTATATATCAGCTCTACATAGATCAATACAATCTTGAAAATGATAACAAGTATAGACAAACGCCAGAACCCATTTTAATGAGGTAACAGGAAAAAGATACTAAAAACCCAAAACAAATTTCCACGTGTTGACGTAAGCCTATGGGCTCTCAACTGCAAGATGGCGGCAATGCTGTTCCATAGCAACCACTAGGGACTGCGAGAAATTGCGTTATCCATGCAATAGAACAAAAAAAATTCACTGAGGCACAGCGCGCGCTACCTTGATAATACTGTAAACTGTTCAGGCTCCCATGGAGCTATCAAAACAGCTTATCTGAGACAATAGGCGAATGTTTACCCAAACACACTA